TCTCTCTCTCTCTCTGTTTCATTTGTAGCACTGTGTGTTCAGTAACCTCACTGCAGTTGGTACGAATGAATTTCTATATCTGTCTGTATACGAATAAGGTCAGTTTTTTTTTAGTTAAGGGTTAGACTTATGATCTTTTTTTGGATAATGCATGCTTTTATAGACATTAGGGGATTTCAGGGGGTCTCCCCCTGATGTTCGAGTACGCTATAGCAGTGTAGTAGGTCGGGTAGGGGGGGTTCAGGGGGGTCTCCCCCCCCCCCCCTGAAATAAAGTAACATCTAAACTAACAATTTGTGGCCAAAATCGTGTTCAGGGCCCTAAAAAACCTGTAAAAAGCTACAAAATCATACCCTTTATGAGACGGGAGGTTTTCTATAAATTCTTGGTATTTTTATAGAATCACTCCCGTTTCGCGTCACATCTATTAGTTTTCGAACCACTTCTCGCAAAGATGGTAAAAATGAACATTAAAATTTACATGTTCCAAATGATTGTCTGCAATGGCCGAGATAATAATACTTGCTTCTTCAGGGTAAGTCAGATAGAGCGCTGCTATAATGAGACGTCTCCTTGATTTGTAGTAAAATCAAATAGATATAGATTCTAGCTCTAGTTTTCAGACATGAAACCTTTTTTTGTGGTTTAAAAGAATAGTGCAGCTTTCATTACTAATGCAAATAGGGATAAAGGGAAATTCCTCTCAAATATTCCAAACGATTTGAAAATGCGCACTGCCCACTATTAATTACTACGCCTAGGCCTACAACTACAAGAGCTGAGCTTGTTCCAAACGAGACAAGCATCTCAAGTCTTTCGGTTTGTTTGTTTTAGTAAGGTTTTACGGCGCTCTCAACTGCATAAGGTCATATGAGCACCAAGGAGTGGGTGTCAACAGAGAAGTCCAAACGGAGAATCAGGCATACTCTGCTCACCTCTCTAGTCTCAACAGCACTAAGTCTGCTTCGACAATCAAAGTACCCCGGAATGGCAGTTCACAAGAGAGTGACAAGCATACAAAAAAGTAGAGAAAAATGACGATAGTAAGGATGAAAAAAAGGAAAAGCCGCAGTTCTCCCTATGTTGTTCCGGCAAAGTATGAGCGAGACATTGATAAATCGGCCTATTTACACTTATTCTATATACTGTGCATAAGAACATGTTAATATCCCCCATTTGGGAATGGCCTAAAGACAACTTCAGTCAGTATAAGTACTGGTCTATTTGGTGGGGGGGGGGTTCTTTTCTAAATCTCGGGAGCTAGGCGAGGCAAGTGTCTAAGAGCGATGTTTGTTTTAGTTTCATTATTTTGTCGGTGGTTTGTAAAAAGATAAAAGGACTTTTGGCATAAGGTCAGCAATGTTATGAAGCAGAGTATGTTTTTGTGAAGCAGATTTGGGTAATCAAAGATACGAGTAAATAAATATATTGTAACATCAAAGAATAGATATCTATCTATCTATCTGTCTATCAATCTATCAATCTATCTATCTATCTATCTATATATCTATCTATCTATTTATCTATCTATCTATCTATCTATCTACCTATCTATCTATTTATCTATCTATCTATCTATCTATCTATCTATCTATCTATCTATCTATCTATCTATCTATCAATCTATCTAGAATATATATTATATTAATTGATCGTTAAATGAACCAAATGATAAATACATTTTTCAACATTCAATCCAATTTTCAATCGACCTTTCTTCTTAGGTTAGAAGCTTTCAAGATCGCCACACGCACAGAGAGTGAGAGGAGGGGGAGGGGAGAGCGAAAGAGAGGGACAGAGAAAGACAGACAGAGAGAGAGAGAGAGAGAGAGAGAGAGAGAGAGAGAGAGAGAGAGAGAGAGAGAGAGAGAGAGATGGAAAATGGGAGAAAGAGAAAAGAGAGAGAAAGGGGGAGAGATGGACGGAGAGAAGGAGAGAGAGACAGAGAAGGAGAGACGGAGAGAGCGGGACAGCGTGAAAGAGAGAAACAAAGAGCGAGAGAGAGGGAGAGAGGGCGAGTGAGAAAAGGAAATAAAGACAGAAAGAAAGAAAGAAAGAGAGAGAGAGATAGAGAGAGAGAGAGAGAGAGATAGAGAGAGAGAGAGAGAGAGAGAGAGAGAGAGAGAGGGAGGGGGAATGGAAATGCTAGTAATGCCTTTCTTCCTCTTTATGCAGATCACTGTGGGAGAAATTAGTTCCTTGGTTTTGAACGAGCTAACATGCTGGGGGTCGACCCAAGACTTCCTCCCGAAGCTGAGTCCATTCTCCAAAGTTTCCTGTTAGCCCTGGCTTCGAACGAATAGCGTGGGCAGTTTCCTTCGACTTCACTTTGTTTGTATCCTGTCAGGCGTCAAAAGACACCAGAAAATACTCTGCATATTTTTTTTTTTTAACTGAGAATATCACCCCATCCTCACCGCCCTCCTCCGCCTTTTTTACATACTCCAACCCTATAAGACACACTCACACATATACACACGAACACACACACACACACACACACACACACACACACACACACACACACACACACACACACACACACACACTTATATATATAAAATATGTTATATTCATATATATATATATATAATCTATCTATCTATATATATATATATATATATATGTGTGTGTGTAAATATATATATATA